GCGTGCACCTTCATGATATTTGTGTTATCTCCAAAGATTTATATCTACTCCATACGTGTATCTGGTTCCTAATGCTATTATATTTTTTTGTTTTATATTGTTCTGTTAACATGTTTAATAATTTAGTTGCTATATAAGTGATACATCTCTGTGCTGCATTAAGGCGTGTTGAGTACAATCATCACTGATAAAATTTTGAAAGTTTTTGGAGGAAATTGAAGCTCAACTTACAAAGGACATTTTTGATATAAGTATAATTGAGTACCTAATAAACAAAATGCCAGCGCTAGACTCTATAAACAATAGGTCAGATGGGAATTGCCTATGTTTAAACAAAATTTTTAATATACACACCTGGTAAGTAAACATCTTACATGCCAATTTTAATGCGATAGAATGAAATGTTTAGAAAAAGTCTAAGGCTATATAGAGAACGAAAACGATTTCCCCTGTTCCACCTACAGCAAAAAGCGCTGGGAATGTTAGAGGTGGAACAGGAGATATCGCTTTTCGTTTTCTATTCAACCTTAAGACTTTGTCTAGGCATTTCATTCTATCGCATTGAAATTGGCATGCAAAATGTTTACTTGCCAGGCCAGTATATACAGAGTGACAATTTGAAATGTAGCAATCGGAAATATCTCTTAGACAAAAAATACTATCAGGAAGATCTCAAATACGTATCGGGGGATTGGAGGGGGAACCAAAATGAGTTAGTTTTTGAGATATCGGTGTTTAAGAATGAGCATTTTTTGAAAACTAGTAATTTTGACTGTCTCTTAGACAAAAGAATTTTGTGATAAAAGTTTAGGAAAACCAAATGTGTTTATTGGCTAACCCCTTGCCTTGGGGGCTAAACGCTCCTAATAATTTTTCTAAAATGAGAACCTACCCCGTGTGAGAGCTCCTTTGAAAGGTTATTTATTCGTCTTTAGAGACGTGCAGAAGCAGATAGAATTACGATAAACACATTATTTGGTTTCACCGATGTGTATTCGAAACTTTTATGACAGAATTTTTTGTCTATCACTAGTTTTCAGAATATGCTCACTTTTAAACACCGATATCTCAAAAACTAATCGTCCGATTTAGGATTTTGCTATATGACTGTGAAGGGATAGCAACGAGTTATCGAACGATGTGCAACACAAGATAAGTTCGCATTTGAAAAAAATAAGTTGGGGTAGCTACCCCCTAAGGGGTGAGGCGAGGTGAGTCAAAAAGTGCCTCATTTTGGTTCTCCCTCTAATCCCCCGATACGTATTTGAGATCTTCCTGATAGTATTTTTTGTCCAAGAGATATTCCCGATTGCTACTTTTCAAATTGTTACCCTGTATATTTCTGTACAATGCTAATGTTCTTCAAGGTGTCATTGTGAGCATATAATGATATAGCTCAACCAAGATTCAGGTAATGCTCTGTAGGTATACTTTCATGATTGCATTTTTATTTAGAACATCACGTAGTTCCATTGGCGTAGTGACGATGCTCCGGGCCCGTGTTCAAAAATTTTACCGGGCCCCTACTCCTGCGAGATAAAAAAATTGAAAAATCAAAGAAATATATATATTTTTTTTCTAAATATGCAGGGTGAACGAAAGTATGGAACATATTCAATATAATAGTTATTTATACACCAAGTGAGTTAAATAAATGTTTACTCATGAGAAGAAAGTTTAACCCACGAGCCCCAGCGAGTGGGTTAATTTTCTTCGAATGAATAAACATGTTAACTCACGTGATGTATACAAAATTTTATCCCATTTTATAAAAATTTCAAAAATAAAGTACAAGGAAAAATGCCGGGAGTGAGTTAAAAATATTTTAAATTACTGAGGTTTCAGATTTTTAATTGGGCAGAGTGACTTAAAATGCCGAGAGTGAGTTAAAATGTTTTTAAAACACTGAGGTGATAAACGTCTACTTACCTTTATTGTTATGCGTTCAATAATGTCCTTTTAAACGTCAAAATGGGATAAAATAAATTAAGGCGTTTTGAAAGACATTATTTGATTCTGCGGAAAATTCTAGACATATTTCAAGTACAATATATTGCCATAAATACCCTAAGGGCCGGTTTCTCAATAGCAAGTCACCCCTGGGTTAGGCATAACTCCAGGGTAAACATTGCAACTTCTTACGCTTACCCTGGAGCTAAAACCAACCCGGCGGTGACTCGCTATTGAGAAACCGGCCCTTAAAATTAAAGCTTAAAGCCTAGTACTCATAACCGCGAAATTCGCTCTTTATTGACATTGCTTCGAAAATTTGACGTTTCATTCACGCCTCTATGATTCACGTATAAAACGTCAAATTGTCGAAGCAATGTCAAAAAAGAGCGAATTTCGCTGTTATGAGTACTAGGCTTAACTCACCTAATTAGAGGGCAGCACAACAAACCACAACGCAGGGATTTCAGGATCTTGAGTTGGCATACTTGGCAAACTATGAAGTGGTTTGGCCGTACGATATGCGACAAGCGGTAAACTCGCAAAGTTTTCATGAAAGAATAAAAGAAATCATTATAAATCTACATAAGAATGTAAAAAATGAAGACTTTACCTACCTAGATATAGATATTTTTTATTTTTATATAAATTAGCGTCAAATGTGTAAAATAGATTTTTTTTTTACTTACTAGGGAAAAAATATTATTGACATTTAGAACCGGGCCCCTTGAGGTACCGGGCCCGTGTTCCATGGAACACGCGGAACACCGGTGACTACGCCCCTGCGTAGTTCGTAAAACTTATAAATAAGTTTTTTTAGTTTATTTTCTACGTAATCATCAGCATGATGCTGCCATTTCAAGTGATTATCAAAGTAGTAGGTGTTAGGGCCTCTAACTGAGGTGTCAACATTTAATTTAGGGATAGATCACGGGATCATAAAGGGGATGGGAATGTCACTGCTAAATAATGCACTCACACTTCCAGTTTTATATCTCTCTATTGTTGCCAAAATAATCGTTTAATAAAGTAATAAATACTGTAACCACATTCAAGTACTTTTAATTATTCACAGGTTAGTTAACAAGTCGCATTTGAGTTATTCGAGAACATTCACTAATCGGTATAAATTCACTAGTTGTAAGTGCTCAATAGTCAATTTAACAATAATTGTCAGTATTAGCGGAACGCTAATATTTTAATTGAGAGCACAAGATAAAGTTTATTCTTAATAGAAATCTTCGGGAGTTGAGAGTTTTTATATTTTTAGAGAGCCCTTAAAAAAGGGGAGTGTGATTAACTCAATGTTTTACGCGATATTATATCACTTGAGTTTTCAAGCCAGCAGCCAGAGAGATAAAAAAATAAGTCTTTATATTTAGAGAGCGAGAGAGAGACTGCACAAGGGTGCAACTAGAGAGAATAATTAAATAATTACAGAAAAGTGAGCAGGTTCAAACTTGTATAGAGCTAGACGTTTTTACGCACTATTTACTGCTAGTGAAACCACACTACTAAAATCACACTGCTAAAAATCACACTGCGAAGTGAAAAAGATAAGGAATGCATTTTTTCCCTTAGCGACAACAACCAGACTGGATCAATGCGTACAGCCTGGTACGGCGCCAGCGGCAAAGTTTCACGGCGGGGGGCTTTTTTGCAACGTTGCCACTGTGATCATAAAAAATAAATACGATTGTTTGGCTGTTTCCACAACAGTAGGTACATACATAATTTCATTTCCTACTGAACTATTATAACCATGTAATATCCAAGGGAGTTAAGGATTTCATAACTCCCGCGCGGGAGTTAAGGATATCATAACTCCCAAGGGAGTTAAGGATTTCCATAACTCCCGCTTTTACCTTGAATAGGTGAAACTTTGACAAAAAATAGAAATTTTGTTTTATAAAAATGGACAAAATACAGTAAATTAAGTAGGAAATAAATTAGTTTATATTTAGGTTTAGGTTTAAGTTGTCAAGCGGGTTGAATAATGTTATTGTTGTTGAATGGGCTTATTGAAATTGAATTGTTGGGACTTATAAGTTCATTTATAAGGATTTGTCATGCTTGCTGCTAATAGCCGTTGTTCATATTACAGTCATTGGTGTGCACCCTAAGTACATGTCTGTTTGGTAACCCCCTTACATTCATTGAAAAACACATAAAGTTAGTTTTTTCAATCACTCACTGTAAGCGAATTCATATCCATCCATGCCCGCACAATGACATTACACTCTCAGCTTTCCAAAAGGTTTCGTCCCAACCAACCCCTTTACATAAAAAAAAAAACGTGTCATCCGCAAAACATACCACTTTTACTTTAGGAATTACATGTGCGAGATAATTATTATATATTATTAAGGATAGTATAGGGCCTATCACTGTAGCCTGTGGAACACCGTATCCGATATCCATAAATGAACTTGAAACCGCATCAAGATTAACTCTTCGAGTCCTATTTGTTAGATCTTCTTCTTCAAGTACGTATCCGTAACAGATCTGGTTCTTTATCATCCGACGTATTACTTCTATGTTGGTGATTTTTTGTGTCCAAGATATTTTCAGTATTCTCAAGTACAGCCAGACTTCGAACGCTCCGATTCTCTCTTTGTATTCAGCAACACCTTAACACCAAATAGAGTCTCTCTTGTACCAACGGCGTTCACAAACCCAAACTGGTTCGGTGAAATCTGTTCTTCACAAAGTCTATATATTCTTTTGTGTATTATCTTAAGAAACAGCTTTAAAAGATGACTCATCAAACTTATTGTTCTATAATCACCGCAGGTTTTGGCACTTGCTTTTTTCGGCAGTGTGATAAATTCTGACCTTAACCAATCCGCTGGAATTTCTCCTGTTAAGTAGATGTTGTCAAATATTCTGGTCAGCAATTTGATTTTATCTTCAGTAACATTAGGAATTTAGTCTTTAGTTGATCCAGACCAGCTGCTTTCCGTGACTTCATTTCCGAAATGGCGGCTGTCACCTCGTCCATCAGAATTTCCGGCCCCTCTCCTACAGTTGGTTTTTGTTCTTTGGGTATATCATGGAATAGATTCTCTAAGATATGTTTTACAGGTCTCCTCCTTTTTCTCCGCGTCAACGATGATTTCTCCTTCTCCGTTGACCAAAGGTTTATAGTTGTTTTTGTGGCCTTTCTTAGTTACTTCTCGGACTTTCCTGTGAACATTGAAGTCATCGTGCATGTTTTGATGGTGCTCGATCTCACGATATTTTTCTAGTAGCTCTTTTTCTTTCCTTATTTCCGATTTTATAATGCATTATTTAGGTGTATATTCCGTTGGATTTCCTTTATTTTGTCTTCTTTCTCAGTATAATATTTCTGTCGTCATCCAAGATTTTGTCTATATTTTGTCCGGTTTCAATATTTCCTTCTTTACTGTTTCTACTGCATTCTTTAATTTATTGTGTTCCATATCGACGTTGTTATTTTCATTTGGTTGAATGTTGTCGTTGAGCATTGTTACTGCTGCTTCCTCTATTTCTGGGATTCTGAGTCTCTGAAGGTAATAGTTTGGAGTCATCTTAGTGTTGACCTTCTTCATTTTCACCTTAAATACACAAACCAAGGCACAGTGATCTGATCCAATGTCAGCTCCTGGATATGTTTTGAGGGATAGGCAGCTATTTCTAAACCTCTTATTGAGTAACATAAAGTTGATTTGGTTTCTAACTATTCTTCTCGGTTCAACCATAGGCGCTTTCCACGTATATCTTCTTGGCGGCAGTTTGAACCAAGTGTTCATTACTACGAGTTCATTTGTTACTGCAAAAACTTCAAGTGTGTCCCCTCTTTTGTTTCTTTCACCTAGTCCATGTGATTCTATAACATCTGATGTATGACCTTCTCTCACTTTTGAGTTAAAATCGCCCATTGCAATTGTGATATGCTTTTTCAGTTCTTTTAGTATATTATTGAGTGTTGTGTACATATTTTCCACTTCTTTATCCAGCGTAGGGGCGTATGATGTTCATGTCAACCGGACTCGCTCTTATTTGGACCAGTGCTATTCTTTCTGATACGGGTATAAAGGCGTTCACACACTGCGCTATTTTCTTATTCAAGACAAAATCCACACCGTGCTCATGTATTCCATTCGTAGTGCCTGAAAAGAGAACTCTATAATCGTCGATGTTCATATCACCAGTGTCTGGCCATCTCATTTGACTTATTCCAAGAATATCTATCCTCATTCTTTGTATTTCCTTGATTGTATTGTGAATTTTAACTTGCTGGCTCATTTTTTCTACATTCCAGGTTGCTATTCTTATTTCCTCTCTGGTATCGATTGTTCTAACTTCTCTGCTTTTAACTGTCCCTCCCGGAGATCCGATTGAAGGACTTACTTCAGATGTTGATTTAGCTACAAGCATAGCCATTTTGATTCTACTAGGATATATCCGTTATGGATTTTTAATGAGGTGGGTCTCCAAAGTTCTTCCTCATCCTCATGCCGTTGACAATGCTACTGTTCATCCGCTTTGGAGCTGGTTTCCCAACTCCAGGACAAAAGAGTGCCCTTCCCTTCTCGACTTTTCTACCCGAAGCTGTTGGTCGACAAGAGTTTTGAGGTTATACCGCCTTGACTCGGTCGTTATAGCCTCGTTTGTTATCTATCAGGATGTACCAAGTGTAGGTGCGGTTGACATTTAGGTCGCTGTTTCTTTAAACAACAAAATCTCTTACCCCCTACACCAATGTTGTATAACTTGTTCAATATGGTACGATGGTCCACAGTGTCGAACGCCTTGGTTAGGTCCAGAAAAACAGCAAGAGATTTCCAACCATTATCAAAACAATCTGTGATGAAAGTGGTGACTTCATTCAAAGTATCATCCGTACCTACCTCCTCCGTGAAACCATAATGTGACTTCGGCAATAGTTTATTAAGATACAAAAAATTGCACAACCGTCTCTTTATACATTTCTCAATAACTTCACAGATAGGACTAGTGAGTGAAATGGGTCTATAGTTGCCCGGATCAGTTTAATTACCCCCTTTATGTAGTGGGGTAATCACTGCCCTTTTAAAAGTATCTAGAAAAATGTCATCAACAAATATCAAATTCACAATATGTACCAGGGGGAAAGCAAAACCAAAAATTAGATTGGGTTGATGGTCAGAGACACCAAAAACATCAGCAGAAGACCATGTCTTCAGCAATGCCACAGCATCAATAATATCGTCTTCATTAACAGGGTATAAAACATGTTCACTCAAACAGCTGATTCCAGGCTAGAAATTATACACTTTCGGCAGATAAATAAATAAATAATTAATAAAATTGAATATTATAGCCATATAGGATACTAGGATTATTGAGATATTTGATAATGAAGGAAGGCGCAGTTAATGGAAAAATTGTCCTTGATATAGAAAAATTTCGAAACAGTAGATTAATTTTGATAAGGTGATTTTGCATTAATTTAGGCACGTTACAAATATTCTAGAGAATAGGGTGGAGAGTTGATCCCTATCGAGAATTCCTGGTAGAGAATTAATTGTCTAGAAAATAATAGGAGTGCTATATAAGTAGTCCGCGGAACGCGACAGCAAGCCTGGTCAATTAGGCACTAGCTGACGTCACACACAACCTCACATTCGACTTTCGATGGGGGGACAAACAAAGCGTTTGAAGGTCTCTTTTCACACGCAAGCGCTAGCTATTACGTCAAAAATCATATAAAGTCACTTTCGATAGGGGGACAAAAATCTCATTGAAAGTTTATGTGTGTGATGTCAGCTAGTGCCTAATTTTTTTTCATGTTATTGTTTTTCAAGAAATTTATTTAGGTTTGGAAAAGTAGTTTTTCTTATCTTCCAACCCACATACGTGACAATATTAATATACAGGGTGTCCCACGAGGTTCTACCCAGGTGATAATTTTGGAACGCATCATCGTATGTTCCACGTGTAATTTTTTTACCATTTTCTTTAACAAAGCCTTGATAAATATGGGCATTGCCGATTTTCCAATTCAATTTTCTAACGAAAAATGCCATAATATACCATAAGTGACATTCCACATTCTAAAGTTGCCGCCCCTTGACCGAAACTGAAGCGAAAGTGGTGAAATTAGATGACACATGTAAAAGAAGCTCAAAAAGTTACCTATATCCTCAAAATTTCAAATACATTGGATGACGCGTTCCGAAGTTGTAAGGCCTTCCGGTTTTACTCTAAAACGGACGGCGGTCTTTGCTCGAGCGCCACCCTCTGAGTTATTTGAAAGCGACAAAGGGATCGCTTACGGATGATTGCCAGATAACTAAGTGGAGTTCGGATGTCCAAGGCTTCGATAGTTGGAGTAGAAAATTTTCGAAACCACATTAACTTCCAAAGGGAGTCGAAAGGATAGGACAGGGAAACAATAATTTACTTCAGTCAAAGTAATACTTAAGTCAGTTTATTATAATAATAATAATTTAAAAAAAAAATATTACGATATGAAATTTCGGTGGCGGTACTTTATTTGGAATTTTATTTATCAGTAGGTATAAAAAAAAAATTCAACTAGAATACTAAATAATAAAAAGACACCAGCTGGATTTCGGTTCAATATGCATAAAATAGGTACAATAGATCGGAATGTCGGTTCCTAGTGGTTTCGGTAACAAAAACTCATGGACAAAATAAAATTTAAATAACAATTTCGGAAACAAAATATTTGCCTTTTTCCACGGGTTTGGAAAAAAAGAAAAATCAGTGAAACAGTTTCCTGGAAAAAATCTTATCAATTCCAGAAACAATTTAAAAAGCCAACTTTCGGTTTTCTGAGCTGACGGTAAAAAAAAAAATCGACTGGACGGTTACTGATTGCCCCAAATATAATTTGCAGTGAAAGTTCGGTTCAGAGATCAGGGCGAAAAACGTGCGGGACAACTATTTCCATTGACTAGAACTAATTGTGCCTCACGCAATTCGAAAGTCGAAGACGCTGTGCTAGTAATCTCGTTCTGAATAGACTAAAGTCGGAGATTCTTAGCCCACATCTTTCAACCAACAGCCCTGCTCGGATTTTAATTGAAGTTATAGCTCGGAATACGGCAGAAAAAAAAATTAAAATTAACGGTACATACCGGCAGAATATTCACTGGCACAAAATTAGTTACAGGAACTAAAAAAAAAGAAAAACGGTTTAAAGCACTTTTGCGTAGGTATTTAAATAATTTTTCGGACTTCTAGTCTAGTCGGGGGTCGGTCAGCTAGTTCCTCTTTTCCGAAATCTTTTTCGGCTCGCTGGGTTCGGTCCCCACTTTGGTGGTAAAGTAGTAGGGCGGCTGGGCGACGCGGACGCCTGTTGGGGCATAGAGCTTGTCCATCATGTGTTTGGCCTAGAGGGAGTTCGCAATGTGTTTGCGTTCGGTGGGTGAACGGAAAATTTCTGTAACTTCGTTACACACCCCTCCTTCTTCGAAAAAAAAATGGTAGACTACCATTTTTTTTAGTGGTCGTGGCGGTGAGAAGTCGACGAGGGTCGGTAGTTGGCAATACGTGCCTTTGGACACCCACAGGTAGGGCAAGTAGCATAGGGTGTACGGTTGCCCTGACGCCGGTTGAGGTCGGCGATCGGACTTCGGGTACGAAGTTGTACCAGAGAAGTATGGCAACGGCAGTTTCGGGACAAGGCTCCCACTTTGCCACATCGGGAGCAGAAAACTACCCCAGAACGGTTGCAGTGTTGGCGACGGTGACCGGTGGTGCCACAATGCCAGCACAGGTCGTCGGTGATCGGGATAAACCCGTTCTGGACCTGTTCGTGGCGAACAAGAGTCCAAGGCTTCGGGACGGGTTGGTTGTCGGCATCAGAAGGATCGGCGGGCATGGCATAGCTTGGTTGGGTCGGTAGCATGATGTCGGCGGAACCTGATGAAGGCACACTGACTTCCGGTGGTGGAACGGTTAGGGGTTGAAGTCCCGGTTCTTCCTCAGGCTGATGGCTTTCTCCTGATTGAATGGCCGGGGACGGTACATGGATTTCCGATGGCTCGCCAACGGCGTCGGCGAGCGCATCGATGAGCTCATCTGTCGTCTCAGTGAGGGATAGGTCCATTTGGGTTGCGCAGATCTCTAGGGTAGGGGCATCCATTTCAGTGACGGGGCTAAGAGAAAAAAAAATATATTAGACCTCGGTGAAAGAAACGAAATTTTCGGCGACGAGACAGACGGGATTGTTCTCCCTACACAACGGAAATCCCAAAAAAAAATAAAACGACACTACAGATTTCCCCTAGTAAAAAAAAGAATCATACGGTTAACTCGGGGGCACGGTAATTAAGGTCGTTCGGTGAGTGCAGTAATCGGCGGAATCAGTAGACGGACTTTTTGTCCGCCTCGGGTGTAGCAAACGAGGCGATACGTCCGTCTAGGGTTAAATCCCACCGGGCGGCATAGCATTGCCATCTCCCGGGCCGGGTTTTTCCAAACTCTGACATGGGGGTTTAGGGAGCCCCATTCGGCCAATTGCTCTATCGGTCGGTGGGGTCGGCGAACCCAAGCCGGTTCATTTCCCCCACTCTCGGCGACAGAATCGGAATCGGTG